ACTTAACGGCACTTAATAACAACAATAACATAAAGATTTACAGTCTCAGAAACCTTACACAGGGTCTCTATGGGTTGGAATTGACTCCATGGCAGTGAGATCTCTTCTTGGGCAATGGGGGAGGGAGGACTCCATGCTGGAGGAGGTAGAAGGAAGCACACTGTAAACCTTCCCGGACGCTTCCAATTTTTCAAAATGGATGCAACTGAGTACTCCTGAAATTCAAGAGAAAGTAGTACCTCTTAGGTATGAGGAAAGGACACCTAGTGGCAAAGTGGTTGAGCACTCAGCAGTTTAAGCCCATCAGTTGCTATGTGGGAAAAATATGTGACAGTCTGCTTCCGGAAAGATTCCAGCCTTGGAAACGCTATGAGACGGTTCTACTCTGTCCTTTTGCATTAAATGTGAGTTGGGTGTTATTCATTTGACCACAAAAACGGGTACAGGAAGAAGGATCATCAGTCCTTAGGTCCTGGTTGTGTTTTTTGTTTTTTTTTAACTTCTAAGCCTAAACCTGTCTTAAGCTGAATGAGTTCCTCACAACCCCTTCCTCCTGACCATGCCTCCTCTCCATCCTATTTCTCGAGGTCTTTCCCCACCATGTCCCAGGTAGCAATTGATTGGTCTGTACTCTCTGGGGCCCTTCCCAAACCTCAGCTTTTCGGATGATGAGAACTTTTATCAGCACTGCCCTGTGGCCTTGTTTTCAGATTCTTCTCCCAGGGGCAGGAGCTAAAATAAACAGTTTTGCTTTTATTTATATCAGCCAACACCTTCAGTATACTATACTGTTCTTGAGTACCTTCAAGTCGGTTCCAACTCATAGTGACCCTGTAGAGGGTTTCCAAAGAGTGACTGGTGGGTTTGAAGCACCAACCAACCTTGCACTTGGATAGCAGTCTAGTGCTTATGCAACAGCACCAAACCAGGATACGACAGGACTGTAAAATAGGGTAATTTTTTGAGTCTTGCCCTATTCCAACCACGCAAAGTTCTTGAGTTTGGACTTTCTGACTTAAATAAGTCTTGGTCATAGAACTAATAAAAATTAGCTAGCAGGCTTGGTAGCATTTCTCAGCAAGCATCACAATCACCTGGAGTGCTTACTATCAAGGTCAATTCCAGGACCCTCTCCCAGACGTAAGGAATCAGGTGCTCGTAGGAAACTGAATTATTAGGAAGCGATACCTGGTGATTCGGATTCACTGTATAATGATTAAGATCCTCTGTCTTCAAAGAACAAAGTCTCTTTGCTCCTTCTTTCATTTTTCATTCTTGCCATGTTTCATTTCCTGGGAATCTGGGGTGAGGTACTCTTAAGAATGTAGAACAGGCATAGACTTGTGTTACTGGCCCTGGAGAGAGATGGGGAAGGGTGGGTGGGGCTGGGAAGAAGTTTGCCAACTCAAATATTGTCCCATCAGGACATGGCAATTTTGCCAAGAGACTCACAGGATGTGTCATTTGCTAGAGAAGGTGGCCTGGTTCGCCCTGCTCCAGGCTGAGGAGTCTGGTATCATGGGCAGAGATCAACTGTGTTGGGGTGGGGAGCTCGAATGGAAGTGAAAGAGTTACGTCCATGATAGTGTGTTACTGAAATTCCCTTGGTCCCAGAAGAAGGTGTGAGTTGAGATCCTCAGAGGGGAGAGGGACAGGTTAGACCTTGGCTTTACTCAGAGCTTCATGACTCTGAAGTCATGAAGGTTAGAGGGGTTACTTCATTGCCCCTGATTTAGGGGGTCAGAAGTTGGGAGGGCAAGTCAAGTCCTCAAAAATTCTAGGACACTAAATCTATTTTGAGGAGTTGGCAGCATCAATGGGCTCAAGCATGGCAATGATAGTGAGGTTGGCCCAGGACCAGCAGTGTTTCATTCTGCTGTGCATAAGGTTGCTATGAGTCGGTACCAACTTGATGGCACCTAACAATAACAGTGGAGTCCTGTTGTGGCACTGTGGGTTAATGTGCTGGACTGCAAAGTTAGTTTGAACCACAAGGTTGGTGGTTCAAGCTCACCAGCTGCTCCTCGGAAACCCTATACAGGATTGCTATGGGTCAGAACCAACTTGATGGCACTTAACAACAGTGGTGTAGTAGGTTACATGTTGGGCTGTTAACCACATGGTCAGAAGTTCAAATCTACCAGCTGCTCCATAAGAGAAAGATGAGCCTTTCAGCCCCCATAAAGATTATAGCCTCAGTAACCCTATACCAGGTCACTGTAAGTTGAAACTGACTCAACAGCACACAACAACAACAACAAATCTATTTTGGTCATCTGCCCAATGGATGGTTTCTGACCAATTCACAAAAGACTCGGAAATCAGTGTTGGTAATAGTGCTTCCTTTTAGTAAGCCATGCTATCCACACTCCTGGGTAAAGACTATTTATTACATAGTCCCTGAATCATACAAAAACCATGTCAACTAAACTCACACTGATGGATCAATTTTCAACCAAGCAACAGATAGGTATATTGTTATTGTTGTTATGTGCCGTGGAGTTGGTTCTGACTCATAAGCGACCCCGTACAGGGTTTCCGAGGCTGTAAATCTTTACGGGAGCAGAAAGCCTCATCTTTTTCCTGTGGAACAGATGGTAGTTTTGAACTGCTGATCTTGCGGTTCGCAGCCCAATTGGTAACTGCTACACTACCAGAGCTCCTTAGGTATATTGTTGTTGTTGTTATGTACTGTGGAGTTGGTTCCGACTTATAGCGACCCTGTATAGGGTTTCCAAGGCCGTAAATCTTTAGGGAGCAGAAAGCCTCACCTTTCTCCCACAGAACAGCTGGTAGTTTCGGTATATAGGGGGGATAAAAACACTAGTGAAGTGTGCACACCACAGAATGGTCAATCATTTGATATTAAAAGGGCAGCATTTACCCAAGAACAAAAAAACACTAGGGAAGGCAGAGGAATGGAAACAAAACACAATGAGGAAGTAGGATAAGTGATTTTAAGGGGATTGCAATCATTGAGATGAAACAAAATGTATGATTTGCTATGATCTGCGCTGTAAACATTCACTCAATTCACAATACAGTTAAAAGACAAAACAAAAATGAATCAAATCAATCTAGTCAATTCTTACTTACTAATTCAGTCTACCTTTCCTTAAACTCTCAAATGAGTTGGGTCTCTTTCTCTAAGCTCCCATAGAACCCTTGCTTGCCCATGTTATGTAGGGTAACACCATGTTGTAATTCTTGGCTGACATCTCTGTCTCCCCTACCAACAATCTGCATTCCTTGAGAGCAGGGACTGTTCTCATTGCTTCTGTTGTGCTCAGTTTAAGGCCTCTTCACAGAGTAGATAGGGGCACAAAGATTACTTCAACAGTGAGTAGACCCAGAGGAATCAAGCATCTCATGCTTCCTAACCAATGGGGACAAGCTTGGTCTGAATAGGGACCTTAAGACACTAGACCAACCTTCTGCCCACTCTGCCCTGAGTCCTAGGAAGCTGCCAAGGATCACAGCTCCAGCTGGCAAGTGGTGAGCGTTTCTTCCTGGAAGGATTCTTGGCTTGAAAACTAGCTCTTGCCTCGTCTATCCTTCGACAACCTCAGATTGCTGAGCGTAAGGGGGATGGGAAGGAGAAACTAAGATAGTCCCAGTTTTGTTAGTTTCCCAAAGCCTTGTGTCCTCCCTACCCATCTTTCCACCAATTGTTCATGGCAGGGATTTCCGTGGATGGTAGATCTTTCCCAGTACTGGGTAGTTGTGTGTGTAGGGAGTCGGGAGGTGTGTGGGGAGGTGGCAGGGGGGTAGGGCTGGCTAAACATTTGGTTCCAGCAAAGTAACACTGTTTCTGATCACACATGTCCCACCCCTAAACTCTGGGCTTCTTTAGCTTTAACTAACAAAGGTAGAGCAAAGCCCACCAGATTGAGGCCCATGATTGGGCCCTCATAATTCATTCCAGTGATACACAGATGATATGAGTCTGGTTGGAGTTTCCAGTCTCTGTAAAAGCCCTAGACCACCCCCACCACACACACACAAAAAAACAAAACAAAACCTATTGACAAGAATTCATAGTAACACTATAGGACAAGGATAGAACTGTCCCATAGTTTCCAAGGCCGTAATCTTTACAGAAGACTGCCATATTTCTCTCACAGAGCAACTGATGGATCCCAACTATTGGACATCTTGGTCAGCAGCCAAGTGCTTAACCATTGCATCACCAGAGTCTTCAGAAAACTTCAAACCCCTCAATAGGGACAATACTATGCAGCCTCTACCCTACCCCAGGAAACACACACCCAATAAAAGCTGTTTTATTTTCTCTTTAATTTTTCTGAAGGATATACACCACATATCCCATGGGCAATAAAGCGCATTCAATGTGTTTATAAGCCAAACAGTCACTTTGTTTAAGCAAACACATGTACAAAATAAAAGAAAACCACAAAATAATGAACTGCATGTTCATAACATACAAAAATTGCCGCCTACTCAGTAGGTAACTACAACATTCCAACTCCTGAATATATTTATAAATTTACATTTTCAGTTAAAAAAATAGACTTTTGAGAGTTCAGATTTGTAGATTTTTTTTTTCATACATTCTGGAGAACTGAGAGTCAGCTCAGCTCTCTTTCCTTGTTTTGCTCCCAAAGCCTCCCCCAAATTATCACTCCCTGCTCCCTTTAAGGCTAGAGGTGAGCACATCCCTCACAATTGCACATGTCAAGTCGTCAGCAAGGCGCATCACACAAAAGGCACCAAGACGTGAAACTTTTTTTTTTTAAACCAAAAGGATGAAAAATAAAACCACTTTTAAAAAAAAGAAAAACCAAACCATATTTTGCCACATGTGAGAGTACGGTCGGGCAATATTTACAAAAAAGTTAACGGAACATCACTCCGACACATGCTTTGATTCACAACTAGGACTGCTGTTTCAACAAAAGCTTCAAACTCATTGTCACAGCATCATCACAAAATAGAGGATCACCATTGGTTTGCTTGGCTTTTCTTTCTTTTTTTTTTATCCCAAAGTTAGGACTTAACTCCAAATAATACAATAGAATATGCAAATTATCTTCACATCAAGAGTACCCCAAGAAAAACAAATTTCATGGCACAGACACTGTACAAGGTGCAGGGGTGGTGGGCTTTGAGGGACCCAAACCCCATTTTGCCAGCTCAGTTTTCTAGCATTGAAGGGAGCAAGGGGTTAGGCATACGATGGAAATGATACTGAAATGATATATCCAAAATCCATGCAAATCAAGTTCTTTGGATAGAGGTGAAGAACTTGGACATGGCTGTTTCAGGCAGTTGAAGTCAAAGGGATTAGGAATAGGGGAAGTGGACAGAAAAGATTGTTTCATCAATAGACCTTCCACCCTGAACTTGGGGTCAAGTAGGGGGAAGGGAGCACTTGGCTCTGAAAACCTCCATCTGACCTAAGAGGAGCCCCCCCCACACTTCCTATGGCCATCTCCTTCTGTCCTGTTAAATCTTCTCTTGTGATTCTTTTTCTCCCGTTCCAGTTTTGTTTCCTTTTTCCTTTTAGCAAATTTCAATTGTCCTGGGAGAAAATGTAGCTGTCATGTCCGAAAGCCCTGTGGAGGCGCTGAAGGAGTTGGTGACTGCTGAGGAAGGGAAGCTGCTGACTTGGGTGGGAAAAGTTGGGGGGACTGAGGAGTACGTGGTGGCCACTGAAGGTGAGGGGAAGCCACTATGGACAGGCGATGGATAGGTTGAGGAGCCAGGAGATGAGTAGGAGGTGGGCACTGGCGATGGGTATGAGGTGGTGGCTGGGGATGGGTAAGAGGTAGTGACTGGGGATGGGTAAGAGGTAGCAACGGGGGATGGGTAGGAAGAGAGGGAGGAGGTGGCCGAAGAGGCCACAACACCTTTGTCAGCTTTCTTGTCCTTTTGCCGCAAGTGGATCTTGGTATGCCTTTTGCGTTCATCACTCCTGGCAAATTTTCTCCCACAGATGTCGCATGCGAAGGGCTTCTCGCCTGTGTGGGTTCGGATGTGGGTTGTAAGGTGGTCACTGCGGCTGAAGTTGCGCATGCAGATGCGACACTGGAAGGGTTTCTGGCCAGTATGGATGCGGATGTGGCGGGTAAGCTCATCAGAGCGAGAGAAGCGACGGTCGCAGGACTCCACAGGGCAGGCGTAGGGGCGTTCATGGGGAGGTGTCTTGCTAGGCCGGTTGGGGTACTTGCGCATGCGGCTGGGTTTGATAAGCTGGGACTGATAGGAGGTGTTGAGGGCCTTCAAGTCCTGGGAGCCCGATTGCGTGGCAAAGGCCTTGATGGTGGAGAGCGGAGTGAGGGAAGGCTGCTGGGTGCGGCTCTCCAGGCCCTGGAAGGGCTTCTGGTCTGGGGTACCTAGGCCTAGGTCCCCTTGCTGCTGTGGAAACAGGTAGTCTGGAATCATGGGCACCTGGAAGCTGCCCTTGGCAGCAGGGTAGGCAGGAGGTGGGTACTGGAGTGCAGTGCTGGCCGAAGCAGGAAAGGCCTGGCTTTGTGGCTCTGGGAAGATGTCAGTATTGGGTGTAGGGAAGGTGGGTGCGGCAGAGTAAATGGGACTGCTGTCGCTGGACTGGACTGCGCAGCTCAGCGGTGGGCTCTGGGAAGCAGAGGAGGATGAGGAGGCTGCTGGAGAGGGTGATGAGGATGAGGTGGCTGGTGGGTTGGTCATGCTCACAAGGCCACTGACCAGGCTGAAGAGAGGCTCAGGCCACAGGGTGTTGCCACTATTGGGTGCAGGCTCAAGAGAGAAACGGCCAGTGTAGGTGATGGGGGGCAGCCGGATGGTTTGGTTGGGGTAGCTTGTCTCTACCAGCACCTTCTCATTATTCAGAGAGATGTCAGGAAAAGACTCTGCCAGGAGAGAGAGGAGAGAGGCCTGGTTACTGAAGAACAATCACTGGAGAAGGCAGAGAACCCAAACTGCCAAGCAAGAGGTCGGGCAGGCTACCATTGACTCCCGGGCTGGTTAATAATTGATAGAAGCAGATTGCAATGTTCCTGGATGCGCTCCAAAGCAGAGCCCATTTCAACAACAGCTGACGCAAATACAGAGAATCCCCCTCCATTGCAGCTCTCAATGCTCCCGCAGCAGCGACTGTACGGACGAGGGATTCCCGCCAGCACTCCCATAGCCCGTGTCCCAGTATGCACCCCCTACCCTGGGCTGCCTGGACACCCCTGGCCACCGATTACGGCCCTTCCTTGAAGACAAGCTGCAGACCAGGCAAGCCTTCCTGTAAGGGGGGGCGCGGGGGGCGCGCAGCCCTGCTTATCAAAACAAGTCCTTTCCCTCTGCACCCACCCACGCAGCCCCAGAGATCTTCCAAAACAAGCTCGCTCCTTTGCAAACCGCTGGGGACAAGCGGGCAACCCTATAATACAGGACTCAGGGTATAAGAGGAATCGAAGGGAAACCCCGTTCGCATCCCTAAGGACCAAGAGGGCTCCTGTTTTGAATGGAGAGCTGCAGAAGCCGTGGAGAAGAACTGGCTGCCAGGATGGGGCTAATCCACGGCGCAGGCCACCGCTTACCTGCCGTCAGGTGCTCGTAGGGCTGTTCGCCCGCCTCCCCCTGAGGGTTGAAGGCGCTGCTGCTGTTGCTGTTGCTGCCGTTCCCTCCACCGCCCCCACTGCTGTTGCTGTTGCCGCCGCTGCCCTCAGGGGCCCCGGTAGCACTGAGGAATTGGGGTGCCCCGTTGCTCAGCAGCATCATCTCCTCCAGCTTGGGGTAGTTGTCCATGGTGGGCGAGTGAGGAAAAGAGCCGAACGGGTCGGAGATCTGCAGCGGGGACATCAGCTGCATCTCGGCCTTGGTCGCGGCCATCCCGGACTGGCAGGCTAGCAAGCTGGCGTTAGGGTGGGTGGGGGCAGCCCGGTGCCCAGGCTGCAGGGGACACACTCGTGGGGTCTGGCTGGGTCACATGCGGGGTGCGGGGCACACTGGGTAGAGTGTAGGTGAGGTACCCAGGCTCGCCCTTGCCGCGGGCCGGTGTGTATGCGGCGCTGCTGCGGAGGCTGGGGTAGGGGCCGGTCCTGCGGCGGCGACGGCGGCGGCGGTGGCGGCGGCTGGCGGTAGCTGCTGGCGGCAGCGGCTCCCCAAGTTCTGCGCGCTGGAATCTCTCGCGACTCCCCGGATCCGCCTCTATTTGAAGGGTCTGGAACGGCACGGGCCAGCCTCCGTCGTGACGTACATGGCCATATATGGGAAGCAGGAAGCCCTAATATGGCAGGACGGGCCGGGAAGACCCAGAGTGACGTGAAGTCCCCGGTTGGAGAGTGGTGGGCACCCCAACCTGCACCCTGGGCCCCACGCCGGCTCTCACACCCTGGGTGTCCAGGACTCAGGGAAGTCCATGCTCCAGCCGCAGCTGGAGCCGCCCGGACCTAAGCTGCTCGCAACTTCTCAACGTTGCCCCCGCCCCTTCCCTCCTCCTTCTTCCCTCCTCCCGGAGCCGGAAGCCACCGGGCCATATCGGGCCACTCCAAATAAGGCGCTGCCCAAATTTGGACTGTTCCGGCGGGGGGGATCCTTCCTGCTCCTTATATGGTTTTTCCGGGTCGCTCCTAGACGCTCCCTCGCTCCCGCCTTCCTCATGGGTTCCTAGCCCGGAGTCCAAGCGCGTGCAAGCTATTGGGGGCACCCGCGTGGTGTGGGCGCATGGTGCAGACCACAGTGCTCATGGCCGCTCTTCGGCAAACACTGGCCGGGGGAAGCCCGGGACGGGGGCGAGGGAGACTCGGGCAGGGGCTCTGCCACAGTCATCGGGGGCCTGCCCGCCCGCCCACCTCTGGGACCGTGGGAGCGTGCCGGGAGCTCAGGGGAGGAGCGGCTGAGCGGGCAGGGGCTGAGGCTGCTCGAGAGGCGGGGCCTTGACCCCAGGCCTCGGCCACTAGCAGGGCGCCTTTCTAGGTGTCGCCGGAGAAACTGAGGCTAAGAATACCCTTGTGCGAAGCCTTGGGCCTCGTGCATCTCCTCCCCTGTCATGAGATGGGGCTGCTGGGGTTTAGGAACCTCTCTGCGCCTCCAGAACTGAAAAGCTTGTTCCCTGCTTCCTGCCGTGGAAGAGCCACTGTTGGAGGATGGGATGAGGGAGCCTGCCCTAGGAGACACAAAGTCCTATTCGCCTCAGGGGCCGGTGGTCCTTGTCGTGAGACTTCCCCACCTTTATCCAGCCCAAGTGGAGGCGGGACGGACAGGACCAGAGTCTGAAGAGAGGGCTTCCCTATGGACAATTTATGGACCCCAGGCTTGGTGCGAGGAAAGGCATGAATTTACTGATTCAGAGCTGCCCCCTGGAGGTCGCCTCTAGAATTCCATTCGGAGCCACTGGCGGCGAGGGCTCTTCCGCCACCTCCTCCTTCCTCCCCCTCCTGGTTGCTGTGTTTGGCACCCAGCCAAGCCAGGGTAGCCTTAGACGCAGTGAGAGCAAACTGAGCAGGCGCCGCAGCCTGGGCTCTCCCTGCAGTCCCTGGGGAACCGCCACCGCCAAGGCAGCCAGACTTCGGGATAGCACACTTCACTCCCCAGCCTGAGCAGGGATGGGGTGAGGGTGTGATGCGTGGGGGAGGGGATGACTCTCCTGGTCTCCTGGTCTCCTGGGAGCAGAAGAGAACAGGAAAGCTCTCCCCGTAGTCAAATGCTACCTCAGAGGGAACAGGAATTCTGGGAAGTGAATGCTGAATCCAGAAGAGGTGCTGATTTTTTACTGAATTTCAAACAAAAGTAGAAGCTGCATGTATGGAAGGGGGCTGCTGGCAATACCTAGAGGTATTGATCCATGGGCCAGGTCCAGCAAGGATCAAGGTCAGGATGTTTGAATGGGGGCGGGGGAGGGGCGTGCTAACTAACTCTCTTGGGCTTCATTCCTCTCTATCCTACCTTCTAGTCCTCCCCTCCACACATGCTTTCTTATACAAATCTCCTTAGGGAATCCAGCAGTGAACCAGGGTGATCTCTAGGTCTATCACCATGGGCTGATAACAATGAACACTGCACAGATTTGCTTATTTGTGAAACAAGAATGATGTTTTTCTCTGAGGCTTCTGCTGCAGGGCAGGAAATGAAGGTCAAGCCAGGTCAGATGGTCCTGTATTGGAATGCTCATTTTGTACAGGTACCTTGGCCAAGCTTTTTGTATATCACAGTCCTCAACAGAGATGAAACACTGGCTAATGCTGCACCATCTTCGCAATTGTTCCTGTGCTTGAGCCCATTGTTGCAGCCACTATGTTAATTCATCTCATTGAAGGTCTTCCTCTTTTTCAGGGACCCTCTACTTTACTAAGCATGATGTTCTTCTCCAGGGACTAGTTCATCCTGATAACATGTCCAAAGTACATGAGACAAGTTCTCATCACCACAGTAAGAGAAACTAACAGATGAGTGATGGTAGAACTCTTGGGAAAAGGGAATTTCCCCTGTAATGGTACTTGTTGTTGTTGTTAGGTGCCATTGAGTCGGCACCAACTCACAGCGACCCTATGCACAGCAGAACGAAACACTGCCCAATCCTGGGACAACCTCACTACTGTTGCCACGCTTGAGTCCATCGATGCTGTCACTTGGCCAATCCATCTCGTTGGGGGTCTGCCTCTTTTTCTCTGACCCTCCACCTTACCAAACATGATGTCCTTCTCCAGCGACTGGTGCTTCCTGACAGTATGTCTGAAGTATGAGAGACAAAGTTTGGCCATCTTGGTACTAGGCCAATAGAATTAGCCTAGAGGCCATCTTTCCATTAGGACTGGAGAGCCTGCCTCCAATGCAGAGCAAAATCAGAGAAGAGTGACATACAAAGAGTAAGTCCCTGGACTCAGCCTGGGCTTTTTAGTTATTCAAGCCAATGGATTATTTTTTATTTAACCCAGTTTCTTTTACTTGCAACAGGATCTGAACCATAGATGCTTGCCTCTAAGGAGCTTTTACAATTGTGTAGAAGGTTACCAGGATTCTATGTCTCAAGACAACTAAGAATCAGAAGTTAGCCACCAAAAGTCAGTGAGTCTAAGGGACATTGGAGACAAGAGGAGAAAGGAGAGATTTCAGGGGACTGGGAGGAAGCCAGGAAAGAAGAGAATTTGGAAGTGAAAGAACATGAAAACAACCAAATTTTGAGGGGAGGAAACGAGAGTCTATTTCAGGCAGGACATGGGGGTTGGGTGACCCGCAAGTCCCATGGGTGATCTGTCTGGGGAAAATGGCTGGGGGAGAGAGGTTTCTACTGGTGAGTCCTACGAGGGAAGGTTGATTAAAACACTCACTCTTTTAAAAATGATTTGTGGGTCTTAGATAACATAACTCTTTAAAAGAGCTCAGTGTTCCTGGCCAACCTTCCTTACTAACTTAGCCATATAGTTGTTTCCTTTACTGGTGACTCTAAAGCATAGATGACAAGTTTAGGAGGTAGTGAATTTAAGTCAATGGTGGTGGAACAATATAAGTAGAGACAGCAAGAATGGTGGCACAACATGAAGAATGTAACCAATATAATTGAATTGTACATGTAGAAACTAATGAATGGATGCATGTTCTGTTGTATAGAGTTTCACCAAAATTTAAAATGTATTGACCCCTTTGCTTGTATCAGAAAGAGCCCTTGTTGGTTAAGTGTTTAGCTACTAACCAAAAAGTTGGAGCTTCAAACGATGTAGCAGTCTGCTTCTGTAAATCTTTCAGGCATGGCAACCCTATGGGACAGTTCTTCTCTGTCCTGTAGGGTCACTATGAGTTGAACACAGCTTGATGGCAAAGGATTTGGTCTATTTTGTTTGTTTGTATTAGGCATCATGCTAAATCCTGGGGATACCACAGTGAGGAAGGGCCTTTGCCCTCATGGGGTACACAGCAATAGAGAGTTGAGTAAATAAATCCGATTATGGTAAGGCTAGTACAGGTAAGGGGTGAATGATAGGAGCAGGGTGAGTGATAGGAGCAGTGTCAGTGACAGGGAAAAGACATAGGAGGAGCTGAGAGAAGGCGTTTATGCAGAGACAGAGGATGACAGAGGAGTGTGGTACATGAGAGAGCATTCCAGGCATGGGGGGCAGCAGTGCAAAGGTCTCAGGAGAGAAAGATCTTTGACCAAGATCAGTGTCAGACCTCAGGCTAGGGTGTGGGCAAGGAGAATGTTTAGGGCTCATGCTGCTCCCCTCCACCCTCACTGCCCCTGTAAAGCTTGTAGAGAGGAATAAAGGTGGCCTTTCAGGATATCTGCTCCTGGAAGGCAGTTTGTGTCTAGAAACAGTGGGAGAAGCTGAACCCAAGCCCCTACATGTTGTCCAGACCTTGGCCCTTCCTGGGGTGAGACAACCATGAGAAGGACAGTTGGGAAACCTCCTTCCTGAAAATCATTATAATACTAATGGGACTTCTCAGTAGCAAGGCTGGGGACTTCTGGGTCACCCCTACTCTCCTTTGGTCTACCTTTTGGCCAATGGCACACACTTTTGTTTGCTGTGATTGGGGAGCCAAGGAAAGGAAGAAATTTCAGTGAAAAGAATTGGCTCCTCCTAAAAAGCCAGGGAGTCCTGGTGTGGTGCTGTGGGCTAATGTGCTGGAGTGCAAACTCAGTTTGAACCACAAGGTCGGTGGTTCAAGTTCACCAGCTCCTCCTCTGAAACCCTGTGTAGACAGGGTTGCTATGGGTCAGAACCAACTTGACAGCACTTAACAACAACAAGGAGCAAAATCTCAGTTTGGCCTTATGATCCCAAACCTGTGACTGACAACCCAGGTAGCAAAACAGGTCTGGAGCTTGAAGATAACCAGATTGAGGGTAAGAAAGACCCTCAGCCACTTCTGCATCCTGACCTGTATGCCTGCCAGCTTCAAAGGCTGCTTAGGGATAAGCCTGGGACTCTCAGACCTTGCTGGTCAGGTGACTGCTCTTCAAACCTGAGCTGTGTCTGCTTTCAGTTGCAAAATGGAAAAGAGGAAAGTAAGGCAGAGGTGAGAGAACTGAATCTGGCCATGGCAACCCGAAGTTCCAGGAGAAAGCCAGGGAGAACCATCTATATCTCAGACACCCAACCCAGGGCTGAACAGGTTGCAGTTTTCACAGAAAACAAGTCCCTTTTTCCATTGCCACTTCCTCCTCTCCAACCCTGGGC